TAGAATTATGCTTTTTTTTTATTACTACTAGTTATTAATAATACTTATAAATGCAGATACTCCATTCGAAACTATATCACCTGAAATAAATTGGATGACACCATTGTTTTGGTTTTTGAGTTATTATGTAACAAAAAAGAATTAGAAGAAATTCAAATTTTTTGCTATGATATTTAAAGACATTCCCAAAAATTGTGACACAGTCATTACATCGATATTGTTATAAAAGGATACACTGTATAGTATTGTAATGTTCTGTTGACCTATTGAGGAGATATTTAAAAGAACATTTCAATGAACAATCCAAGCCATTCCTAGATAGGCAGTGCTAACATCTGCCTGATATTTAGGTCCCCTAGTCCTTCCACCATATTAGAAAAAAACTGTTTCCAGGTTTGGATTCGTAAACATAAAAATGTACTGGTGAAATATTATTCGGGGCATTTCTGGATGTGACAGTAGCTGATATACTCATGTCAATGCTACAGAATTTGAACTGTACAACATAATTTTGTTGTCTAACAAAGTACATCACCATGATTTCAGTGTCTTCTAAATTTTTAAAAACAAACTACTTACTGTTCCTCCTACTATCCTCCCCAGAGGGTACCACGCACGGTCATCAAACCAATTAAGAAAGTTGTAAAAACCATTTTTTACCATATAATGGGTAGATCGGTAGTTAAACCTGTCCAGAGAAAGTTCATTTTAATTATGTTAAAAAAATTTTAAGCAAGGTACACTAAATGAAAATTTGGTTAATGTACTTTCTACAACTATACTTAAATTGTATGTGCAGCCATGGGCTTGATAATAGTTAGAAGGGCTGAAGTCGTTTTTTTCATATGAGTAAAATTATTTGGCATATTGCTTACTTATCAAATTCACAATTCTAAGAATAGAAAAAATCTTCTACAGTTATTTGAAGTTATCCAAAATCAGTCCTATTCATAAGAATTTGTGTGTGTGTACTAATAACAATAATTACAAGACTATTTATCTATATACTGAATCCTCAATAGACACGTTAACATACAAACAATTTCTGGACATCACCATTTTCAATATTAGAAAATTATAAGAAATGTGTTCTCATTCATCAGTACTTTTGTATAAGCTTAAAGTTATTAGAAATGGCAATATTCAGTACAAATTGTACATTTTTAGAATTTCCATTACTCATATGAATATGCAATAGTAATTCTCAGATAAGGCTGTTTTTAAATGAATATTATTTTCCTTTATCACTAATTTTTAAGAACATATATGCATAGAATTACAGTACTGTGTTTTCTATCATTTTGAGAATAGCATTCCATATTAAAAAGGACTGGAAGGCTTCTTTGAAAAATTACAACTGAATTTAGATACTTCAAAAAATGTGTCTTCATAAAAAAATTATCATCAAAAGACACTCGCACCTCTGTACATTTAAATATGGAAACCTGAAAAAGCTTCACTTTTTTTAAATCTTATTATGTCTCTGAGAGCAAAAACTTGGTGCCTTGCTAATAAAAGTTGTAACATGAAATAGTAGCTGGGCTCTTTTCCACAGTCTTGAGCTGAAAAAGTGCACATTTCATGGAATAAAAAAACAAATACAGATACAGCATAATATAATCTGAAAATACAAAGACATGATTAAAATTGCTGTAAGAGAAAAAAAAATTATTCGGTCATTGTTTTTAATCAAACAACCTTCGTCAGAAGAGTCTAATGAAGACCTTTTAACCATTGGTGTTTACAATAATTGGATGCAAGTCCATCAGTTTCAATCCTCACTATCTAAAGGATGTAAATTACACAACTTAAGATAATTATCCACCAACTTCATCTTTCAATTTGTATCTATTTTGTACTCTTTTAAAGATGCCAACAAAATATAAAAGATTATTTGTAACTTCCACTATTTATAAAAGATAAAACAATAAACACACACACTAAATGTATGTATTATGGTGCTTTAGCATGGATTGTAAACAAAAATATTTCTTTTGGATAGAGACATTTTTGCTATAAATACATACAATTACAATTGATGATAATGGTTGATATATTTACAATTTATTATTACTTGAAGGCTAAAAATGATCAATAATAATCATTTATTTTCTGAACCTAGAGAAGTCCTAAAACTGAAATTTCATACTCTTTCGGTGTGGAGACTTAAATGTAATGCTTAAACAGAGAAATGTTACTAAGTTTTAATAACACTTTAAAAAAAACTTTATTACTGTGACATTTTAACACCTACCACACAAGCCAACTCTGCACCTTAATGAGGATTAAAAAAAAAAAAGTCATTCTAGAAAGGTTTGGATTGTTTTGATTAGACAAAAAAAAGACATTTGGCACTATTTCTGAGATCTAGGTCACTAAACCAAACCCATGACTGCACCTGAGACCATGAGAGCTAACACATAGTTAATTTGTAAGTGTAAAGTAAAATGATGCAGCAATGAAACATGCTTGAAATGTTCTAGATGTGGTTGTGAATAAGATGGTTTAAATGTAGTGATCAAGATAAACCATGGGTCCAGGTCAGATGAGGAAAGAACTTATTCAAAGATATCCCAATCAATTTGACATACCAGCTGAATCGAGGATTTCTCAATTGATTACTACATTGACAGAAAAATATACAAAAATGGAAACAATAGTATCATTATCTTCAAAAAGGGAATTGGAATCACAAATGAGAAATCATTAATTTCAATATTTTGTGAAACTAACGGCACAGTAAAGCCCAAAGAAGCAGTGCTGAAGTTGAAGCAGATGCACAATGCATTAAAAGATGATTACCTAGCGATTCTCATTTCTGCAATGAAGAAAAAATATAAGAAGGATGGTATAATGCCCAGGATAGTATCACCATAGTATAATTCATATAGATTTCATCAAGACATATTTTTATTAATATTTACTTCATGTTAGAAGTTGTGCCAAGCTTCATTCATAGAGAGCTATTGAAATAACCCTAAATAATCAGTTTCCAGAATGACCTCCTCCTCCATCCTGTTGATCATCCTAGGTTCAGTATTAAAAGATGCTGGACTGGCTCATGTGCCAGGTGTTAAAGATTTTTCTCATACTAATAGGCAAACTAAATGTTAATGTTATAATTCATGTATTCTAATTCTATTTGCCCCTAAATTCTAAATTCTGTCTGGAAAAATGCTAAGACTTAATTGTGGAAATGAAAGTATACGTAGAAAGGAAAGGATAGCAGCAAGTATAAAACCAGGTGCAACATAAAACTCTTGTCAAAAAATCTCTATAGGAGTGGGGGGGGGGGGATAAGTTAGTAAACTGGATAGAAGAAAGCAGAAGAAAGGGTTGTTACAAATGAAGTTCAATCAAACTGGATTAATGTTACAATTGGGGTACCCCAGGATTCAGTCTGAGAGCCTTTGCTCTTTTTGACTTAAACAAATGACATAGATGAAGAAATGGTCAATAAGTTACTTAAATTTGCTATATTAAGGTCTTGGGTGTTGCTAGCTTGAAGAGGATGCTACTGATTTACATAAGGACTTAGATCATTTAGTGAGTTGGACAATAAATGGCAAATGGGTTTTAATTATAATGAATGCAAGATAATGCATGTGGGTTATCATAATTTAGATTATAAGTATAATTTGGATCAGAATAACCTTAACAATGTCATGAAAGAAAGGAATCTTGGTATAATAATTGATCAGTCACTAATGCCATCCAAACAGTGAGCTGTTGCTAGTGGTAGGGCAACTAGGAAATTAGGTTGTTTCTACAGAAATAGTGAATACAAGTCTAAAGAGGTTATAATTTCATTGTATAGGTCACTGGTTTGTTTCCCTTGTTTGAATTTCACGCAAAACTACACGAGGGCTATCTCTGCACTAGCAATCCCTAATTTAGCAGTTAAAGATTAGAGGAAAAGCAGCTAGTCATCACCACCCACCACCAACTCTTGGGCTAACTCTTTTACCAGCAAATAGTGGGATTGACCATCACAATATAATGCCCCCCAAAGCTGAAAGGGTGAGCACAGGGAATCGAACCAGTGACCCTCAGATTGCGAGTAAAGCGCCCTAACCACCTGGCCATAGGTCACTGGTTACGCCACATTTAGAGTATTGTGTTCAGTCTTGGGCTCCTTACCTTAGGAAGTACATTGAATTGTTGGAAATGGTTCAAAGGAGGGTTACTATAATGGTGCCTGGAATGGAGGGGTTATCATACAAGGAGAGATTGAAATCTCACAAATTGTTTTCTCTTGAAAAAAGAAGTGTTAGAGGGGATCTGATTAAGTATTGAAGATTGTAAAAGGAATTGATAGTGTTGATGCATCATCTTTTTTCATACTAGACAGTAAGAATAGTAGGACTAGAGGACACAGATATATATTTTGGCAGGGTAGGAGTCATCTTCAGCTAAGACAGTTTTATTTTCTAACAGGGTGTTTGGCCTTTGGAATGGGCTGCCTTCAGATGTTGTGGAGACAGTAAATTTAAGAGAATGCTTGATAAGTATATGAATGATAAGGGCTGACTTTAAGATTTTTTAAAAATCTATTTTTAATAGTTTAGTTTAGAGGATTGGACAGCCGAGATGGACCAATGGGTCCCATGTTGTCCCAAAACGTTATGTTATGTCACTAGGTAAGGATGAACAGCTTGGCTAGTTGGATTTTTAAAATCACTCCAATGGGAAAGAATAGATGGTTTACATTTAAATAGGATATGGGCTGGCTTGTTTGCAAAGGCTACTAACTCAACTGTAAGGGTAACTTTAATATAAAACTAGACAGTGGTGAGGACCAGAATGTGGAAGAACAAAATATGGTGTAAAGAGTGGTATAGTGTAAGAACAAAGTACAAAGGTAGTTTTAATGGTAGGCTAAACTGTTATTATTGTAATGCTACAAGTATAAGAAATAGAATGGGCATCTTTAGTCAGAACAGATTATTTTAGTGTAATGTTAACAAATGTAACCTGTTTAAATGTATTCAATTTTAATGACAGGAAACTTTGAAATAGAAAGTTATAGGTTGTTTAATAAGCACAGTGTACTAAAAAGAGGGGGGGGAATAGCTTTATAAGTAAAATGTGAGTTACAGCCTTCAACTTGAAGGTGTCCAAGCTAATAGCAATGAAGTTCAATCTGTTTGGATTTTTGTTTGTGTTTACAAAGGGAGAAGACATAGATCAAATTTATTAAAGACCACCAGATGAAACTGATGAAATTAATTAGAAATTCTATAGTGAAACGTTAGTCACATAATGAGGGAGACAGGTTATTAGAAATTGTTCATGATGTTTTTCTTCACCAATTGATTAGGGAACCTACTAAAAACAATGCTATTTTAGGTTTTTATTAACTTCAAATACTGAAATGGTTGGTAGAGTGGAGATTGGAGAACATCTGGGTGCAAGTACCAGACTTATTAGAACATCTTAATTCTGTACACAAAAGAATCCACTTCACGATGGAAATAGAACAAAACAGCCTACCATTTCTTGACATACTCATCAGCAGACAAGACAGAAAAATCACCACAACCGTATACAGAAAACCCACCCACACAAACAGATACCTACACTTCAAGTCCTATCATCCAACCTTGATAAAACATGGTATAATCCAATGCCTAAACAAGAGAGCAGAAAACATTTGCGATGAGACATCCATTGAAACAGAATGCCAAAAGATCGTAGAGAGTTTTAAACAGAATGGTTACACATCCTCCTTCATCAAAAACTCCCTGAAGAAGACTACAACAGAAAGAAAAGATCAGAAAAACACTATCACTACTACCATTTACTTCCCCTACCTGCAGCATTTCAGTGAAAACCTCAAATGCATATCCAAGAAACTCAACATAGAAGTCTGGTGGAAATCCTACAAGACATTAAGGTCCATTCTGGTAAAATCAAATAGCAACCTACCAGTGAGAAACACAAAATGTCATTTAAGAAATTGCATGTTCCTATAACAAATCATACATTGGAGAAATGGGAAGAAGACTCGCAACAAGAATAAAAGACAGTACAAGACTCATGAAAACACAAAATTCAGCCATTGCAGAACACACCATGTCAACTGGACACAAAATAAAGTGGGAAAAAATTAAAATCATCGACACAGACAAGTTTTGGAAGACAAGAAAAATTAAAGAATCATTTTATATTAACACAATTAAACTTTCACTAAACAGAAATTCCAGATTAGAGGTGACTAGCCTGTGGCTACCATTTTTTGAATCTAAAGGAAATCTCTTCTCCACTCAGAAACAAGAATAAACCAACCAATCATAACACACTCTCCACAATCCACCAGAATAATATAAAGACCAACAACACCTTACACACACACACACACACACACACTGAGCTATGGTGGGAAAAATATTTTCAAAAATTAATCAACCCCAGCACCAGACTTCACTTTGCCTTCCCTACTTACTTCTTCTCATTAATCGGGCACTGGTAACGAATCAGTCGTTACCAGTGAAAATGGGTTTTCTCGGAGTACTCCCGTTTCCCTCACACTAAATTCTCGGCATAGGATTTTTAGATCTTCGCTGCCCTGATGGATCATCTGTTCGATATCGACCATTTAGTTTAGTTTAATTTAATTTAGTTTACTTTACTCTTCACTTTTTATTGTCTACAGTTACTCTCTCTTTACCTTTTTAAAACTACATACCTCTTCTGCATTAATTTCCTATTTTCTCAAGTTAAGCCCATATTCCTAGACCACGAGCTGGGTGAAGGAAGATTGTTTAATCTTCGAGCATCCCAGATTAGTAATTATTTCTTTGGAAATAATTATTTCTAAATCTAAATAACTGCCAGGAAAAACGAAACGACACATACACTGACCTAAAGACAAAAGGTGAAAGACTTTCAAAAAGTAGTCCTCTACACTCGTGTCTCTACAGCAGGCAGTTGCATCCATTCTACAAAATTTCATCTCTGAAATTGTTTTCTCTTCTAAAAAGAGTTAGAGGGGATCTTACTGAGGTGTCCGGGATTGTTAAGTAAATCGGCAGTATTGATGAGTAACTTTTTTATGTACATAATGGTGTGAATGGTAAAACTCAGGGAACAAATATACATTTTGTCAAAGTAGGAGTCATCTCCAGCTAAGACAGTTTTATTTTTCTAACAGTAACAGGGTGGTTGGCCTTCAGAATAGATTGCCCTTATATGTGATAAATAAAGTTAATTAAAAGGAGTTTAAAGGAAGGCTCAATAAATACTTAAATAAGGGCTGGCTTTGAGCATTTTATTTTACAATTTAGTACAGTGGGTGGATTGGTCTAAATCATATGGACCAACAGGTCCTTTATTGTCCTTAAATTACATGTCCACAAATGTAAACATACACTTGACTTTACAAATACAATTTCTAAAAAAACAAATTGTTCTGTGTAATAATTATCCTATTACCCTACTGACTCTAAGGAACATTAAAAAATATAACAAAACGAAAGATATATCATAATCAAGTAAAATGGTGGTACTGGAAGTAGTTATACTTAAATTTAAAATTATAATGTCACATTCGTAACGTATACATCGTACGATTAATAATATGTTATTCATATTTTACACAGTACAGTGATAGACTTCAACTCTAACTTGGGAGATTTACAAATTTTATACTTTCAAATTAAGTTACACAGGAACTTATGTCTCTTAGTGGATACAACTTGTACAAAGTTACAACTTAAATCAAAAGGTTAACTTAAGAAGTTAAAAATAAAATTTAAAATTATTAAATACATACCAGGGGTCAAACTCGTGTATAATACTTTCAAATCGGATAACAGCAAAAAGTCTTGAGCTAAACCCTGCAAGACAAGCTAAACTAAGCACAGTAAACCGTAATAAACTCTGCAATCCAATAGCTTGTTGTACAAAATGTTTCTTCTCAAATGACTTATTGTTAATTTCCGTTTCACCGGTCGTAGCCATGTTCTCTGTGCTTCGACTGTTCGACACATTACTAAACCAATCATTCATCGCCAACAATCTTACCTGTGCTGCCATCTGATATTAATTTATCTATTTATGTTTTCCTGACTTCCTAGTTTGCACGAGATGGTTTAGGAGGTTACAAAGTGTTTGTTTTTATCTTAAGCACAAAGCTACACAATTGGCTATCTGTGCTCTACCCACCACGAGTAATAAAACCCGGTTTTTAGCGTTGGAAGTCCGCGGACATGCCGCTGTGCCACTGGGGGCCAACATTACCTAGATAAGACACCTATACAACTATTTGCGAATATACTTCTTATGATGCACTATGTTTGCCAATTCTAAAGTAATGCCTGATATCACACAAAAGAAATCAAAATTCACGTATAACGTCTATACTGTTTAGAAATAATTTTGAGATGAAACATTCAGTAATATCTACAAAGTTTGGAAGTTGTTTGAATGTACAAATTCAACAAGCTTCTGAAACAGACATACTCCAAAACAACAAGTAGTAACATATAGTGCTTTTTTATGTTCATTCTGAATGAACAAATAATTTTATTTTTCGTCTAAATAGTGAGTATAGTTGTCTCTGAATATTTCAGTTGCCTCGTTTGCACAATATTACTTCGCCACCACAAGTGAAAACAGAAGGTCGACCACATTTCTCATTCTGGGGGTGTAGATTTTAAACAACTCCGTGTCTTTCTCTCATTAGAAATCACACGCTCACGAATATTACAGTATGGTGCCAAACTGTATTTATTTTTACTTCAAAGTTACTTGCATTTAAAAATAACAACAACACAGAACCCACTATGCTTCTCTCTCAGTGCAGTTTAAGCTAATCATTGCAGTCTTAAATTAACCTGATACATCTTGGTATTCCAAACTAAATTCTACATATCCCTTAACAATTATATTATTGTATTGTAATTAAGTATTAGAAAATGATCCATACATGTGTGCAAACACACGCACACACGTATCTATTTCAATGTAACCTTTTAATTAATGTTTATTTGCAGTGCATAGCGTCACCATTCAACAGCTACCTTGGTTTCCATGGCAACTGGCTTAAGCATCATAATGCACGCCAAAGCACACACGACACCACTACCGGAAAGAGTTGCACTACTCCAACTTAGATAATATCACAAAAAGTAAAATCAGTCATGAGTGTCAATGAGCACAAACGACCCTTCTGGCTAAATCATTCATACATACTATATTTTGTGTCATCAGCTACGAATCATGCACATAATATGTGCAGAGGGGTCGACTTTTGCTGTCATAATATTGCATTTCGTTCAAAAAATCACGTTTTCCCCATTAGTAGTGTTACGACAGCGGAGGTCACGTGGACCTAATAACACGTCATATTCTCGAAGGTTCGTGAATCCTCGAGTGTTTACTAGATATGCGGTATTCTTGTATATAAGACGGCCAAGAAGTGATGGCAACAATGTAATTGAATTGCAGACAGAGATAGAGACGGACAACTGAGTCGGGCGCGTGAGTCGTTCGTTGTGGATTATAGCGTTTGTTTAATTTATAGCGTGACTGTGGAAATTAAGTGTATAGCAAAGTTGTATTCAGAAAGAATAAACCACTTTTATTTAAGAAAGGACTTGTATCGCTAAAGTTTCTTCTGAAATAATTTTACGGAAAATTAACTAACGACCAGAGACGTAACAGTAGTGTCATTAGAAAAGCATGATAACTAATACAAAAATCTAACCAAAATAATATTCATTTTACCAGGTTAATACAATCTATGTTAGTTTATCATGCTATGTTAGAGTACAACTTCCTTACTGAACTTCAGAAAGGTAATTCAGACCTGCCAGGTCATCAAGTACAATCTCACAATATATTGTTCAGATCAACTTGTATGCAAGTTTACTCAGAAAGTTCCTATAGGCAAACTCATGCAACATTTCCCACAAAAGTTAACCTGAGTACTCGGAAAGCATGGATTGTAAAGTCCTTTCGGCAAATTGATTTGTCAAATTTCCTAATTATCACTGAAATTAGAGTCAAACTGTCAGTTTTTTTCTAGAATATTATCCACTAATATCATCTTCGTAGCTGTGTATTTATGGAACATGTTTTCTGTAATCTGTGGTGTTCATTCAAAAACAAACACGTCATTGCACACATAGTTCATCATCAATGCTGCTGCAATAGCTTCGGCCCTTACATAGTGTCGCCCCCTAGTGGCACAGCGGTATGTCTGCGGACTTACAACGCTAGAAACCGGGTTTCGATAGCCGTGGTGGGCAGAGCACAGATAGCCCTTGTATAGCTTTGTGCATAATTAAAAATAAACAAACAAATAATACATAGTGTCTAGGATCGGGATATTCATCAAATTGACATGATGTATAGGCTGGAAAAATAATCCATCAGCATTTTTGTGCTCTTGCCCTGGGCGCAGTTGTACAATAAAGTTGAAGTTCTACTCTTGCAGCATTGTTATTTAACGTGTGATCAAGCCTTCTGGATTTTTTAAGTTAATTAACCATTTCAGTTATGTGTGGTTAACTCAAATGGGGTACTCCCATTGAATCAATGGTTATAATGTTTTACAAATACTGCGATAGTTCCTTCTTTCTATACATTATCTCCACTCGGTAGAAGGTAGTGTATCAGTCTTGTCAATGCAGCTAATGGTGTGACTTCTCTTGGAGAAAATGACAATTGATAATAGAATATGACACGAAACCTACTAAGCTATAGACTTCTTGTTTAATATTAGGCTGTGACAAGTTCTTGAGGTTTAATCTTTAAATCAGTTGAAATTCTGTCGCTACTTACTATGTGATTGAGAAACTCCACTTCTATGCACATGAACACACACTTTTCTGGTTTCAATTTCAAGCCTACATATTGGGAGTACTGAATACCATTCTCGGGTTCTCTGAAATAGCCTGAAACATGTAGTCAAAAAACGTGCAACCATCTGCATGAATGAGGAGACCCTCCCATTGCAGTTATCTCTAAGTGTAAGCTGTTTCAGTCTCTTGAAAATGACAGATACTTACACAGACTGAATGTTCTGATGCAAAATTCATAGTCCTTTCCGAGTTCATGATCCAATTCAATTTGCCAGAAATTAGATCTAATATATTGAACCAGCAAATACTTTTCAATGAATATATATATATTAGTTCTAAAAATCCTCACTTTTAAACAATAAGCATTCTCTGAAGATTATACTATTCCATCTTTCAAAATCCACTGGCTATAACTCTGGTGCTCCAAATAGACTTGTACAGTTGTTGTTTTATCAAACATACATGATCTGTGTCTTTGTAACGATGTGTGATTGTTGTTTGTCCCAATGGATCATTTGGTCTCATAGATACATTGGTAAAATCCTTGAGTAAGTTACTGAGTTTATGTTTCTGTATCAAGTTCATACTATTAATACAGTTCTCATCTATACATTCCAGGTGCTCTGAAAACTGGATATTTGCTCTCAAAAGCAGTACAATGGTTATGATACATACTAATCTTGTTTACATCACTCTTGTCTCCGTTACTACTGATGACCATTTTAGTTAGGAACTGAACAGCCAAATTTCTCTATTTACAGACTAGCAATGGTGAAAAAGCTACACTTGAAGAGATCGCTGATCGAACTAGTGCAGCCTCTTTTAGTTCGAGATAGAAAACGGCATGTTTTATGCATAGTTCTATCACTTCTGTAAATGGTAACAATGCATTAGACTGTGTCTATAGTATGCCATGGAATACTACTAACACATTCAGCAGTATTACTAACTCCTTGATGTACACTTGTGCAGTCCGTTGAACTCAGGCCCAGTCTGGTTACCACTGGATGGTTTTGCCATAAAACTACATTTCATCTATTGCACAAGCAAAACTGGCTGACAATTTCCTTAGTAGTTCCCTTCCCTAAGATACTAATGTCTGAACCAAAATCAGATACAACACCAGCAATCATTGGATAGAAAGTAAGATGAAAAACAAATCAGATAATAATAATAAATAAGAATACATTAAATTAAAAACAACAAGAACAAAATGCAATAAAGCAACAGAACGAAAATAATAATGATAATAAAATTCATGAAGTGCAGAATAAATGTGAAACCATTTACAAGGTACAGCACAACTCAAGTAACCATGTCAAACTTGTAATGCATGGAAATCGTACTGAAGTGCCAAAACAAAATCAAATCAGAAAATAAAATACAAAACTTGTAAAGCACCAGCCAGTCATAAATAAAAAAACTCCAGTGGCACAGTAGTATGTCTGCGGACTTACCATGTTAGAAACTTGGTTACGATACCTGTGGTGGCCAGAACACAGATAGCCCATTGTGTAGCTTTGCGCTTAACTACAAACAAACAAACAAACACAAATATAAACATTAACAAAATACCGAACAAATAAAAATACATTGCAACTCGAAAACAGAACAGAAAACAAACATAAATTAAGCTTTTTCCGCTAGCCATCCCTAATTTAGCAGTGAAAGACTGCTTTTTCCAAGCCCGTTCCCTTGGCTGTGGTTTCGCTAGATAATAGATAGGTACAGTGGGAATCTCGTTAATCAATTCATGCGCGTCATGGACTACTCTTTTATTAATGAATAGTTGGATTGACCGTCACATTATAACACCACCACAGCTGAAAAGGCGAGTATGTTTAGTGGAACGGGAATTACAACCCGCAGACTGCGAGTCGAACGCCCTAACCATCAGGCCATGCCAGGCCCTGGGATACATTATAAGGCCTCAGAATTACCACTGAGCCACTGGGGGACAAGAATTTGAGCATTATAAATTAAGAAAAAACACAAAAATCATAAAATAGTTAAACAAAATATGCAACTCAGACACATAAATAAAAATTCCAAAATGGCAAACTAATCAAACAAAAAGTAGAACAAAACTTCAGGTATTATCAAAAATCACAAATAATGTCTTGATATAAAAGATTCTTTAAACAGGATAACTTTTAAATCAACACAAACTGGGAATTAAAAAGTTGTAAGAAATTCAAAGAAATGTAAAATTTAATTTGCCCAAAAACAAAATTTAAGATTAGTTACAGGAACTAAAAGAAAACAAAACAAAAAGAACAAAAATTCGGTTATGTAAAAAAAAACATTAAACTGGAC